TACATAATATTACAAATAATTCACGGGAAAGATCATGCTGTTATATTATATTACCATTAACATCCAACTAGCTACACGTCCCAGCACGGTTTACACTCGTTCACCTGGCATTCCTTAAGGGTGCCCAATAACTCAGCTTATTAGTCCCCGTTCGGACGCAGTGCGTGTGTCAGGACCTATATCTTAGATAGGAACCTTTTTATCAATGCGCTTCTAGAGCCATATTTCTGACATCCTTTGACTAATTATGTTCAAATTGTATATATTCATTATACATTATGTTATATATATATATATATATATATATATATATATATATATATATATATATATATATATATATATATATATATATATACCAAGCATAATGGGTGTATGTAATTGAGATATGACAAATTAAATCGCAATAGTTTCATGTAGAATGTATATAAAAACAATATCGATTTGTGAAAATATTTATACATATAATAAAAGATTTAGCGCTAAGATGAGACTTGTTGAGATAATGAAAATGACTATATAACTCATAACTACATAGATTACTAATGAATCTATCGAAACAATAATATGATCAAAATATTGAATATTTGTTTGTGTATCTGTTACAAAGATTAAAAAATGACACAAAATGCTTTGAGATTGAGTAATCTTCAAATTATACAAATTTGTTGAAATAAAACTCGAGGGGACACATCAAGAGATGACCACATGGACCTAAATAATACAAATTTCTACTGTATAGATCTGTATCACGTCCTCTTCTAGCAAAGTTCACAACTCATCACAAGTATTTTACCAAGCACAATACAGTTTAAAGTTATGGCGCCATCGGTCGGTTTCTGCGCGAGAATAGGGATTGATTTCTAGGTCGCGCAATTAGTTCGCTGTTTTTCCCGGTTCCCGGCTTTCTGATGAGCTAAAAAGCGCTTCCACAGACACCCCCCCCCCCCAGGTGGACGAAAATGAAACGTTTTTACAACAGGGCGCGCAGTTTCTAATGTAACGGCGGAGCTAGAAATTTGTCTATTGAACACGATAACAAATCTGCTAAATTAATCTCTTCCCCTTCACCCAACAATTATTGAACGTCTATGAAACGCATAATATTAAATACTTAAACAATTGCTTTGCATGTCGAACTCTGCGGTAATGAGTCTCATCTTCACATTTGTCTAAACGTACAATTGAAGAGGTCATAATTCCCTGAGCCCATTTTCACTACAAAGACGTAGTGACATTATTTGACAAATTATAAATTTTACCTAAACGGTAGTTTAAAGCATGTAATTGACATCGTGCGAACCTTACCAAGTGTAAGTATTTGTACAACTGTCTAATATTAATAACCGTAATCTTGATATGTAGAATTTGAAAAAAAAAATCTCGACGTCGTGTTTATAAATACAAACCAATCCCAGGTATGACATCATGTAATATTATGTTAACGGAAGTGTCTGTGATTGGCTGAATACAGAGTCACTATCACGTGATTGGGTAATGCAAATGTAGAGGCTGGAGTTTGAATCTTCTAGAATACGTGAAGATGCGTGCTTTTTCGAGATAGAACTTGCGGTGGTCACTGAATGAACAACCGTATTGTGTGTACTAGTAATTTAGTTAATGAGCTTATATCATTGGGAAAGATCTCCAATATTGACAAGATGAAGAATCCGATTCAGAGTGACATAGATTGACAACAGAAAGAACAATAACACCACCACAGCGCAACGTTTTTTTGTACATTTTTAGTCTCATGTAATATTTACAAATGAGTGACTTTCGATAAAATTCCTTGGGACTATAATTATTATATGTTATATTACCCCGGAAGACCAATGCGTTGATTAGATGAAAAATGTGTTCTTCTGTTCTTCACTTCTCCATATATTTACATTTCAGATTTGTTCATCTTTTTTATTGATTGTTTTTTTTATGATCAAATTTTGTCCTGAAACTCTACTACATCTTGCATTGCCAGTTAGAGGAGGTCTCGTTGAAATCTCGTTACATAGGCATTGGTGTATGTGACCAAAATATACCGAATCACAAGTACGTAACAAAACATAAACATAACATGCACCGTTAAGACTGCTAAGTATACTGTATACTAGCCTATCTATATCCATTTCCTGTGTCTGAGGGCGCTCTAACGATTCTACTGCTGTTGATTTGAAAATGTTATACAGGTGTGGACTGTAAGATTGAGCTAGCATGATGTCACCGCTGTAAATAACTGTTCTACTATTACTGAATATTAGTTATGTATCGAGTTTCGTACTCAGTGTTATGTGGAAGACTTGTAGGTTTATGAATAAACAAATTACGTTGTCTATATATCATGAATTTGCCGGTAGAATACATGATATTAGGAGTAAAGTTCTACATTGACTAGCGTATAGGTTGAGGTATACAACTTTTAGCGATTTATTTCACATAACTACAATGAATAGAATCCAGAATTAAAACTAAATGGTTGAGCACTAGAAATAAACATGCTGCATTCATGTATTCTCATAATAAATTTTATTCCACGTGCTCCGTCGTGGGTAATAGCTAAAACACACCGGGACCAAAATTAGCATGTGTTTGCACAATTTAATGCACGTTGGAGGCGGACATTTATGCCTACACACACTAAAATACAGCGACTATCGAATTTTTCTGAGAAAGAAAAGAAAAAGCAGCAGCAAATAGGCTGCAAACTGATGATATATCAGAATTTGACAGCATTTCCACGTTTTTCTCTCCACAAAGATATTGGATCAACTGGTCCACGGTGAAAGTATATGGGAAGAGATTCGAAATAATATTCAATGCATTTACTGTCACTGAGGATAAACAGAAGCGAGCTCTATTACTACACTACGCTGTGGAAGAAGTGATGGATGTTTTTGACACACTGTCTGACACTGGCACAGACTACAATACAGCCCATGATAAATTACAAGCATACTTTTCTCCGAAACGTATTATTGGGTATGATCGCTTCAAGTTCAGAGACGCTGTACAAGAAAAAGGAGAAACTATTGAAATGTTCCAAACAAGATCACTAAAAATTTGCTGAACATTGTGAATAAAATAAGGAAATCAAATCACAAATTATCTGTGGATGTCTGTTCGTTTGAAAAGTCGCGCTCTACGTGAAAACCAAAAAACACAACAAAACAAAATACCTTTGATTATTGTATTTTGTGAACAGTATACCACTTCCAATGCTCATTGATATGTGTGCAACATCCAGCATAATGAGTTATGCAACTTTTACCTTTATTTATATAGAAGTCAATTTCGAGTAATGACTGACCAGAGACCACTAGTGCCGTTATTCAACATCTCATGATTGCGCCCCCGAATCACCATCATAAATAGAAAGATGAATACTCATTCTCAAGGAATATGGCTATAAGGTTGTTTACCAGTCAAGTCATCCATTGCAACCAAGACAATCGTTGAAGAGCACATCAACTACATAACTCAACACACAGTACCACGAAATACAACAATCACCGTTAAAAGGTGGCGCCCAACAACTCTGCATCATAGCAATGTATATGACGAGAAATGGGATGAACGAAATTGAGGCAAACATTAGATTTCTACACGCAACACGTGATAAACTCAACATCACTGACTCCAAAGATTTCGTACTTCATGGTAATCACAAAATCATTAAATAATCAGCATACAAATACAAATACAACGGCAAAAAATAATCGATGCAACGCATCGTGAATATCAAACAGCTCATACGAGAAATCTCCACGAATTTCAAGCCACGGCAGTCGATAACACCATTAATTACTGAAAATGTTCAAACTTCTATTCAGTGTTGATTTTTCTGATCGCGCAACAATAGAATACCTACTCGTTGTACCGAAGTCGCTTCCCTTAAGTTGAAGCTATCAGTTCAACTTTTCCCGAACAATCATCCCCAGATTATATGGCATGTTCTCATTACTGGGGTCACTAATAAATGTACCCACAGATAATGGACCACAATTCAACGGAGCAGAGTTTAAATCCTTCATGAATTATTTGGGTTTAAAACATTGCATCTACTTCATAACCCTCAAAGGCCATCTTTCAACACAAATTGAAGAAAAAGATATTCCAGGTGATGACGCGAACTGCAGCTGTGACTGTACCTACCACAGTCAGCTGGCGCACAAATGATAACAAAATAAATACGATATTTACTATATGGGGCCGCGATCTTGAATGCACCATAAAACTAAATAAGAGACAAGTTGTGAAACACTTTTTTCAGATTCCTACATATCAGGACAAAAATGCCAATCTTTCACAGAAATACGATCCGTTGGGGGTAGTATTGAGCTAACCGATAACAAAATTCGGCCGCGATCGTCGCTTTTATGTGGAAAAATTCCTTAAATACGAACACCTAATTACATGAAGAACATAGCACATTTTCCTGGGGTATCAGAAACCAAAATCGTCATTCCATCTCAGCAGCGAATCAGCGACGGCCTTACAGTTTCGGTTTTAACATGTCTCACGGTTTAAGTACGCAATTGAAATACTGTAATAAATGTTTATATTGTCTACTCTAAACATACAAGTTAATTATTCTAAACAATACTGCACTAAACAATACTGCAACGTCGTGTGGACCAAATATGCCACGTGATATCGCTACGATAAAAATATATTGAAAAGTATACAACATATATTATAAAGTATGTACCGTATATCGCAATATGTGCATTCATAGTATATTGGAAAGTATAATATGTTTGTGATGTGATTGTTTATCATGAAAATGACACAATAATGTTTTTAAATATGGCATGAATTACGAAAGATTTGAAAACTTTAAAAATGGATGGTTAACAGAAAAATTTATTAAAAAAAGCTTCAGATTGTTGTCGATCGTATGACTTAGCACAAATAACACCAGTCAGTCAGTCATGTATTACATGTTATAATATTATAAAAACTCAATTGCTTCTTTCTAAACTGTAAAACCTGTCAAATCAGACATGTTTTCACAGAATTCAAAATATTGTAACATTCAAGGTTATCATGTTATTATAATTTCCAATTATTTTAGTATAATAAATTTGATCATTATAAGTATACCAGCCAACACCTCAATTATGATCATATATGCTTGTGTTTAATCCTACTTGGTGTGATGTGATCTATATGAGCCCATGTGTGACGTTGTGTTCATTTCTGCATTTAATATAGCGTCACGTGCCCCTTCCCATTTTCCAGGGCCTTGCAAACGATACATGTACGGTAGCTGGGGCCCATACTGGAACGCCATGGCCAGCTTTGGATCAGAGAGAAGTAGTTTCCAGAATGAAGGTTTCACACCAATATCTTCAGCAATTTCGTCTTCGTATTGAAATGGGTTCACCTACAAGTGGGAAAATAAAAGTGAATTTAACAAACATTGAGGTTCACAGCATACAAACGATACAATTCATGTTCAACAAGTCATTGAAAATGACACAGTTCCCGTTAATTTTTTTAAAGTTCTCTTTGTCCAAAGTGGCGTATACAACAGATTGTTTATTTGTTTATTTATTATTTTAACAAGAATAGATTGAGGAACAATATAACGAAGTTTAAGGAAAATACCCGTAAGTCTGCTGATGTTTTCTTTGACCCCAAGACGTGTTTTTTTCCATAATAAGTTTTTATATATTGTGATACCAATGAATGATGCACCATATGTTTCGTGAATTGTTGTGTCATTCAGTGAGAGAACTCCAGATGATGTTATCTTTCTCTTACTACTACGGGTTACTAAATATTGGGTTTTGGTTGCGTTATAGCCAGCTTGTTGGCATCACACCACTCTGTAACCTTGGTCACTTCATCATTTAGGAAGTTTAAATTAAGATTATTAATATTTTTAATTGTGTAAAATAAATTTGAGTCGTCTGCATAAAGTCTAAAATTAAAAATTTCTGAAGAAGTGTAGATATCATTGATGTATATAAGAGATAAAGTTGGTCCTAATATGGAACCCTGTGGGACTCCACATGATATTGGTAAATTTGTTGACTGAATGTTGTGAATGCCAACAAACTGACTCCTAGAGGCAAGATAACTGGTGTGCCATTGCAAAGGTAACCCCCTAACACCATAATGGTCAAGTTTGGCAAGTAAGATATTGTGATTGATACTGTCAAATGCTTTAGAGAAGTCTATGAAGAGCCAAAAAGTGAAATTTCCCTGGTCAATTTTGTGAAGTAGATATTGAGTCAAGCTAATGAGTGAGATCTTTGTACTGTGTTTTTTCTAAAAACATATTGGTGTTCGTAGAACATGTTATGACTATCAAAATATTAACCTAGTTGTTTATTCATACTTTGTTCAAATAATTTACTAATTATAGACAAAATACTAATTATAGGCAAAATAGATATAGGTGAAAGCATGTCCAAGCAAAGACACTAGTGTCTTTGGTCCAAGTTATCACATTTTAAACAAACAAGATGACCACCATATTTGATCAAATTGCAAATTGAATTGACATGTACATGTATCCATTTATGACATGCTAAATATCAATGAAAATGATACATGGGTGACAGAGATATAGTAATATGGCCAAAAATAAAAACAGCCGTTATTCGGCCATCTATGATCTGATTATGAAACAAAGTGACATGTATGATGTATGTGCCAAATACGAATTAAAATGGTACATACATCTTGGAAATATAGTAGTGTCACAAGGTCTGTATTAAAATATATTCACTGTGGTCAGTTAAGGATAAGATCCACTATATGACAGCGAGGTAGGATATGACAGCTGAGATAGATTTTTATTATTTACATACGATACATTTATGTCGCGATTATTTCAACTTCCCCGGTTCAGAAAGATCGTTAACTTTACGTACAGTCAAGACTCGTAACCTGCACAAGATGGAAATCACGTCACATTGACTTTGGAACCCTATTTCAGGGATCGTCGGAAATAACTGTAAAGCTACCGAGGTGGCAGTCTGAACCGGAGAAATGCTAAATGCATTCTATTATACACAGCAATCGTTTTTGAATTGATTTAGTAGTTTACTGCGAATGTGTGGAACGTGACACTACATTGTGCAATTGCGTGGTGTCAATTATCCCTGTGCATCGAATGGTTCCGCCGTTAAGTTCCAGTGTATTGTGATGTTAATCCCAGATGTACGACTATATATTGCGTGAATGCCATGTCATCGGGGTTGCTTCTTCAGACATCACGGTGGAGGAGGACCCTTGACAAAGTTGGTCCCAGATTCTTGAAGTTGTGGTGACGCATATGGCTGTTCGAATATTCCCTGAAGACTCACCAGTGCTGGGTTTCTGCGAGCGAATGGTCTCGACGCGTAACATCGTTCCTTCGTCAATTCTGATATCCAGGTGGTGACTACACTCAGTTTTCCGTACAACGAGCGCCGACTTCCATCACGGACATAACCACAAGTCGTACGGACATAACTGTGAGTCGCATGCACCCCACACCCACACTTTCCATTAGTCTAGGGCACTAGCTGTCAAGTGTTTAATTATTGTATTTTTGTGAAATGCATTCTGTATCTTTTATGACTATCTTATTTTACGTGCACAAACCGGTTAATTAAGACAACAATTGAAACGGGGAATGCCGTATTTTGTTTGTAGTTGTGTAGCTACACTATGAAGTCTATTTATTATTAATCTATCATTTGTTATAAGTTACCCGCTCGTGTTTGTGAGCTCTGGGGCATTTTCCCATCATACGCTCCGGTGCTCATAACCCCGAGCGAACCGTATACATTTATTTCCCTTGTTTAGGGAGCGGTAAATGTTATTTGTAATGCATTTGTTTTCCGTGATTAATTAAATTCCTTTACCTGTTACTGATTAGTTCGTCTTCTCTAGTATGTTGTGTTTGTATGTTCGTATTCCCAAACATATTGCTGAACTGGTCACAACCACTCTGTACATTTAGAGGTATAAACCATTCATTTGGTACGGGTAAAAGAACCCCGCAACACGAGTGATATTTGGAACCCGATATTTAGACATTTGTATAGTTTATCCAAATATTTAAATCAGCCTCGTGACAAGCAGTAAGGTCAAAAAGTCAGATTTCTGTCAATCGGCAATCCTTGATCCAATTTTGAAACAAATTGTCATAGACATGTATCATAACATGTATAAAGTATGTGCCAAATTTTAATGAAAACTGACAAAGCATGTCCAAAATACGACATTTTCAAAAAACAAGATGGTTGCCAGTTGGACATTTTGAATCGAATCGCTAAACCACTGCATGTGCATATGTCCCACATAAAGTACTAAGCCCATGCAAAGAATGAACGGAATATGTCCAAAAGATTCTGAAATATGACTCCGGACGGACACACGGACAGACGCACGAACGGAAACCAAATTACAAGTTCCCGTTTTAGGATTCGTCTGATCGGGGACTAAAAATATGGTTCTTGTTGTCTTTGTAGTTGCACTTACAGTGTACATACCAGATTACTCTATTTGATAAATTGAGAGGAAGATTTCAAAAGTCGCTACCTCTCAAAAGTACTAAGAGTACATTGAATTCCATAATTTACCCCGGTAGCCTTGTTTGTGAAAATGTCTGCCACAAGCCATGCATGGCACAGTCTCCGTTAGTTATCACATTTAAGATATATAGTTTTGTTTATAGTAATATAGCTGGAATATAACCATGTCAGGAATATGATTTTTTTAACATTAAAATGATTGACATTTGTATCTGATCGTCAAACAAGTACTTGTCCATATTGAGAGATATTGCTCTGGAACAGCATTCAAAATCAGCCATTTTGAATACATGTATATATAACATGATGTATAACGAATATATAAAATTTGAATATAATCAGTCAAAGCATTTAAGAGATATGGCTCTAGAAGCCCAATCATTAAAACATAATGGCCGCCAGTCAGCCATTTTGAATCCAATCTGAAAAATAAAATGACGTGCATCAGGAACCCGTAATGTCTAATGTATGTACCAAGTTTAAACAAAATCCGTTCATAAATGCCAGAAATGCTTGATATTTGATGATTTTTTAGCACAAAAATGACCACAATTCGGCCATTCTTAATAGGATCGTCAAACTAATATATCTGTCTATCTATGACATGATATATAATGAATATTTAAAATATGAACATAATCAGTGAAAGCAAGTCAGAGATATGGCACGAGAACCACATTCATTAAAACAAAATGGCCACCAGTCGGCCATTTTGAATCTTATCTGAAAAACAAAATTATCTGCATCAAGGTCCCATAATGTCTAATGTATTTACCAAGTTGAACAAAATCCATCTGTAAACAGCCGAGAAATACCTGATTTTGATGATTTTTAGCACAAAAAATGGCCGCCATTTGGCCATCTTGAATCAGATCGTGAAACAAATTGACGTGCATATGTATAATATCATGTGTGATGTATGTGTGAAGTTTGGTTGTGATTGGTCCAGGCATTTTTTAAGATACATGTCCGGACGCAAACACAGACGCACGCACGCACGCATGCACGCACGCACGGACACACGGAGGTCAAAACACAAGTCCCCGTTTTCGGACTGCGTCCGAACGGGGACTAATAAGCATGTATACATTAAACTATCGATTCTTAAACACGCGGCCATTTTTGAAGAGAATTAATATTGTAGCACATCCTAGGAATATCAGGAGTATTATATGTTGTATGGATGGTGATGTATCAAGCACTGTCTGAAATACTGTATACCTCGCCTTTACAACATTTTCAGTCACAGGTATTTATTCTGTAGTCATGTCGTTGCAATAACATGTATGACATTTAGGCTCGGTGATGCATCACGTACTGTCTGTATTATTATAAACCCTACCTCATCAGAAGTGTTATGAATCGATGTTCAGATACAATACTTACGAAACAGTATCGTCTGCCATATTTGGGCTTTGTTTCAATGTCGGCGAGCATTTCTTCTTTCTTCGGCAACTTCAGGTTTTTAGTAAACACCCTTGTGGCCCACCTGGCTTGGAGTTCCATGCATGGCCACACGCCACCTAATGGCGAGATCATGCCAATTACAGCAAGTTTCTCTGGGTTTTCCATACGGACCGGAAACACGTATTTATACAGCTGCATATTATCGCCGTCTAATATGGTATTGAGAAATAAAATATATTATTTATAATTATAATATATAAATATAGTTAAATCATGTGGTTCCTATTTCAAGTTAAATAAGAGCAAATCGTAGCAAATGCTTCAAATTCAATACCTATTGCCTGGGCTATGTAACATGGCTGTCAAAGCCTTAGTGATTGTAGTTATATAAAATAATGTTTTGATTTGTTGCCATCTTGTTTGCACACTGGCCAAGATTTAAAATTGGCTTTGTAATTTGGACACAACTACACATAACGGCCAATAATATTGTTGATATGTGACATCGAATCATTTGTACACACGGTAAACATTTAGGCTGCTATGACGTTATGTATTTTACCTGATTTTACTTTATTTCAGTAAAAAATATCACATCATTGGTATAATTAACATTGCGTTTATTATTCCATTTGTTGTAAATAAAATCAATCGATGCCTCTGCGTTCAGGATATTCCATGATATATACTCACCGAAAACCCAGTCGTGCTTGAGAACTGGCATAGATATTTCATAACCAGTAGCAAAGATTACAACGTCTATATTTTCAAG